CYYKTKTSTTAGTCCMGATTCAGTCTTCATCATGATTGTCTTTGCGGCTATTACTACAAGATATGCTGTTAAGTTCGATAAAGTTCTCAGCATGTAGAGTATGATTTTTAACCTTCATCGGAACTACTTCTTTGTCGAGTAGTAGATCCTGTTGGACCGRTTACTCTGCTTGACCCACTGGTTGTAACTCAACATTGTTTGCCCTGTTTGCTGCATGGTTTAATGCTTGCCTTCTGCACAGCAATTTCTTGGCTGCTTCGCGAAAGTCAGATAGGAATATGATGTAGATGCACGGACTGAAGCAGGAATTGAGCACAGGTAAAAAAGACCGAACGACAAATCTGACATTTGTCATACAAAGGTAATAATAATCATCTTTAGCGCGTTGAAAAGAGCGAATGCTATGATATCCAGATTCCACAAGGTAATCGAACATGAAAGGAAGCATGCAACATATGTAGAGCACTATAGATGCCAGAACCATTCCTACGGCTGCTCTTATTCGACTGATTCGTATGTTCCGTTGTTCTTCGCTAAGATGGGCTTGAATGTTGCCTTGAGGGTTGGAYAGCCGTCTGATCGTTAGAATGGTAAGAACGATTATAACAAAACATGCAATTACTGYTGGAATAGAAGCAAAAAMAGCARAAATAAWTSTTGCAGTTKYATATTCTTGCAGTGGATKTGAATAACAAACGAGGCTGTCCGTTGAAGCTTCGGCATGATACGMATAGACTGCAGCAAATGCCATGGGAATCAACCAAGTAACAGCAAGAATTGCAACTCGTTTTTTCASTGTGTAAGGTTGCGATATGTGMATTCGTCTTGTGACTTTGAATCTTTCAATGCTTATTATCAATAAAGTAATCAAAGATACTCTGAACGAAACGTGAAAAAGAAACATTTGACTTTTGCAGATTATGACACCCAACGTACCTTTTGGGTATGTATAGAAAATGTCTAKCAAGGCGGGTATTTCAATTGATAGCTGCACAAGAAGAAAAAGGGTGTCTGATACGGCCATGTTGATGATCAAATGATGCAGGCTCTTGCGCATTGTGTACTTAGCAGCAAGTATAATGATGAAGAGGTTGAATATAATCCCAAGCAGAGAGACGAGCATAAATGCAGTACGTTTAGCATTTATATTTACAATATTGTGACACAACCGAATCGAATTTGACGGCCTTGTAAAATAATTGAATCCGTTAAATGGAACGATATCTGATGAGTTGCTGCTGTACATCATTGCGCAGTTTATCTGCTCTTTGCTTATGTCTCCGTAAAATAACACAAACATTGGCACAGGTTCTGCTTATATACATTTCAATAAGCTCACAAGATGTGAATGCACTATTTTCAATTCAGGCTAAAGAAAATCAACTGGCTCAATAACGTACAGATGTGTTGAATTGCAAGGTGACTTGCAATTGCCTTCATTATTCAGCTTGCTGACAGTACGCCATAGTACAGTACAAGTACGCCTAATTGCATGTCATATGTCACTTACTCAGCATGCGACAACATTAGACCTGTGGGTTTTCTATGGAGCTTTCAGTTATCTCTAGTTACTGTCTTTGTGTAAGTAAGCATATGCGTACAGGTGTGTATTATTCATTCTCTGCATTTCTGAGGGATGAATAAAGAAATTTTAGAAGCAATTCATGACCGAACAATCACCAAAAGAGACTCGTAAGTAATCTTTATTTTGGATAAAAAGAGGTTTATAGTAAGACACAAAGGGCCTAAACGACAATGCACTACCAATTACTACCAGGAGGAAACGACGGGTTGTGTTCTTCTAAATAACTGTTCTTGTACGATTTTTTTTCCTGGGAAAGGGATTTTGAGCTACATTGTTGACAATCTCCCACGCAATCAATATCGCGCCCATCCTTCTTTGAAATAA